TTGTAACCCTGCCTTTTTTATTGCTCTAAAATATGTGTTAACAAAGTTTGTGCATTATTAGCATTTGATAATCGACTGCACACTCTGACTATTTCTGGTCCCATTGTGGTTCTTTGGAATTGTTATTTGTGTAATTTTACATGAATGAATTGATAAGTGGCTTGTTTTTTTCAAAGATAATTTTTCTACCTCGAATCTGATTTTTGTTTAGCTTTACCACAAAAGTTAAATGGTTGCTTTATGTCACTAAAGGGTTAATATCGGAGAAAATGAATATCAACATGTATACAAAGCTAACTAGGTCAGCTTTCTCAAAGCAGAAATCCAAGCCTCCTGATAATACTGGTGTCACTTACAAATGTTTTAAAACTTTACATCTCCCCCACACCTGCAACATAAAAGGCCACACCAGGGAACCTCAGGAAAGTAATTATTTTTAAAGAAATCACTCAGTTCAGACACTGATGTGCAACACCAAATAGCCTTATGGGACAGACGGAAATAGAAAAAGTCAGACGGTTGGCACTTAAAAGGGACAGTAATTAAGCACTTACTTGAAAGTGGGTTGGATTGTTGGATAATTTTTGTTCCATATGAAGGAATCAAGTGAGAGTTAAAGTCTCTTGCAAGGGGGAGATCATGTCAGACTTGACACTTCCTCTCTCTGATAGAGAGGGCAGGATGATCCTTATTCAACTTAATTGCTGTATGTTCAGTACTCTTAATTTTCCGCAGAGGTCGTATTCCAGCTTTCTCCTTTCTTCACCTCTTTTCTCTGAGAAAAAGCAGTTCTCCCCAGGAGGAGAGAGAAACCCTGTGAATGCTCAAGATGGGAGGAGGGTGAAGGAGAGAGAGAGGCGGAGAGATTGGGACGTGGGGGACGGAGGAGAGAGAAGGAGAGAAGGAAAGAAGGAGGAAGAAGATGGGGGGAGGCTCCAGGCTCTAAGGCTCAGGAGCTGTGCAAAGCGCTTTTCCAGCAGATGCGGATGTGGTCTCACTGTATTTCTCACAATAGGCCACTGGAGCTCCCTCCCCAGGATTCAGTCTACTACTACCCAAACCCAGTGTACCAAGAAGAAAATCTCGTGGACAGGTTCAAATAAATAGCACCAAGGGAGCCGCGCCGCGGTTTGGCAGCCTTACGTGGAGGGCAGACCAGGAGGTGGCACAGACGAGTTGAAGGCCCACAGGGTCTCTCATTGCCTCAGCTCTTGGATGCTCCGGGTGCAACACAAAAGGGGTGTGTGTGTGTGTGTACAGGAGGTTTTACGGGGCCAGCAGCTGGTCCCAGCTGGTCATCTCCTCCTACGCACATTCTTTCGGGGTGCTAATCTCCCCTCTCATCTGAGCAGCACCCTGGAGGACATGCTGGGGGGTGGGGCGGTGTCGGTGTTGGGGGTGGTGGGGCAGACTCAAATTGCAGCTGCTAACTGCCTCTGCTGCAGGAGTAGAAAGACTCTGGGGGCATTACTCGGTCTCAGATCTTATTTTTAAAAACAATTTTTTGAGCCCCTTACCCAAAATCTTGAAATCCTGCTGGCTCTATCTTCAAAATACACTCCAAATTCCTACTTTTTCAACCACTAACACTCTAGTCTAAGATGTATATTCTTCTATTTTTATCCCTAAAATTCAGCCTCCGAATCCAAAATAATGAAACCATTAAGATGTCTTTTATCCGAGTTTTTGCTCTTTTAGCTTATAAAGGAAAGAATAATAGGAATATTCAGGTTTCCTTAACATTCTCCAAATTTTGAGTAACAACCATATTATGGATTTTTTTGGTTAACAAAACTTATAAATCAAAACAAAAGTTGAGTTTTTCTAACTTAATTATAATAAAATAATTGTGTACTTCTAAAGTTAAAAAAAAAAACTCTCTTGCTAATTATATAGACTGATATAATAACTGTCAACACACCAATTTTGAAAAGGAAAATTCTTTGTCGACCGGTGACATTCATAATACACTACATGGAATGAATTAAAGTCCTTGAGTGTTTGTTAGTGCCCTTATTAACTTTCCTGGCAACTCTCCTCTCCTTACTTGAGGAGGAAGAGTTCGTGATTATTTTTCACCAATAATAGGGTACAATTATATATATATATATTTGCTTAAAACTCCTTTGCTTAAGATTATTTACTGTTGCTTGTTAATAGTCCATACTTAAAAATATAAAGTAGAAATTTTCAAGCATTCTATGCTATCACAGATAAACTCTTGCCAGTAGAATACATACATATCACCTTCTCTCAGAGGTGAAATGAGCTCAAATGACTGAATTGTTCTCCCTTACTTGAGCTTGTAAGCTCACAAGAAATTAAAAAACTAAGTATTTATGAAGGCATATGATTAGATTGGCCTGTTTTAGGAAACTTTGGAAATAGAGAGGTTCATCCTTCCTTCCTTCCTTCCTTCCTTCCTTCCTTCCTTCCTTCCTTCCTTCCTTCCTCCCTCCCTCC